CAGCGCCGGGCGTTGGTGGCGCACGCCTTTAATCCCAGCACTCGGGAGGCAGAGGCAGGCAGATCTCTGTGAGTTCGAGGCCAGCCTGATCTACAGAGTGAGTTCCAGGACAGCCTCCAAAGCTACAGAGAAACCCTGTCTCGAAAAAAAAAAAAAAAAAAACAACACAGCAAGTGCTGGTGTCTCATACCTGTTATACCTCCATCAGTTCAAAGCCAGCCTGGTCTACAAAGTGAGTTCCAAGACAGCTAGGGCTACACAGAGAAATCCTGCCTCAAGAAAACAAAAAAACAAACACACACACCACCACCAACAAACACTTTTCTGGGCTGGGGAAGTAGTGTAGTAGTAACTCTAGTTATACAAGCATGCAAGCTTGAGTTCTAATGTATGCACTGTGTGCTGGTGCCCATTGAAGCCAGAAGGGGGCATTGAATCCCCCAAAACTAGAGTTTCAGGCAGTTGTGAACTGCCTGATATGGGGGCTGGGGACTAAACTTGGCCCCATCCTGCCCCGTTTTGAGGACTCGTGCCTCCCGTGAAAGTGTGTGTGTTCTGCGGTACCTCACTTGCCATCGTTGTCCTTGGCATTCTAATTGAGCAGACAGCTTAATTTTGCCTTTTCTCCCCATATCACTATTTGGCTAATATAATTAGCTTTTAAAATTGTCCTTCAGCTCTTCTTAATAATTTTAGCTACTCTTTATTTTCCAGACCTCTTTTTGTGAAAAGGCATGTAGAGATAAGTGCAGAGGCTTTGGAGGTGCGAGGGATTAAGGTAGCTTAGGCTGATTTTGAACCCCCATAGTACTGCCGCAGGTCCTCAGGCTTGTATGCTCAACACCTTTACCACTGAGCCATCTCCCCAACCCTGAAAATGTTTTTTTTTAACTAGGCTAACAGGTGTTTCATGTTTCTTTTCTGACTCAAAGTTTTATATGCAGGCCGGGCACTGGTGGCATGCGCCTTTAATCCCAACACTCGGGAGGCAGAGGCAGATGGATCTCTGTGAGTTCGAGACCAGCCTGGTCTACTAGAGCTAGTTCCAGGACAGCCTCCAAAGCCACAGAGAAACCCTGTCTCGGAAAAAAAAAAAAACAACAACAACAACAAAAAGTTTTATATGCATTCCTAATAGTTTTTTTTTTTCCTAGAAGCTCATCAAACTGTTCTCAAGTTACAGTTTTGGGAAATTGTGTGGTAAAGTGCTTGGCTAGCATGTATGAGACAATAGGTTTAAAAAAAAGCCACTGTATCTGCATTCATCTTGACAGAAGTAAATATTTGGGTCTTTATATTTTTAGATCCTAGAACAATGCAATAGGGCCTCTTTACTCCAGGTGTTAATTTCTTGAGAAGTAATGTGCATGCATGTATAAAATTAAATGACCATATTAAAGAGATGACTGTTGCATGCCAGGGTAAATGCAGCAGCTACTTGAGTCTTCTCAGCAAGGGTCTGCAGCTTCTGGAGGCACTCACCCCACTCCTCAGAGCACCGCCAATGACTGCCGAGAGTGGGGGCTTCTAAGGGATTGGAGCACCCACATGGGTGGCGCTGGGCAGGAAACCAAGGCCTCACTGAACTATACCCTCTTTCCCAGTATTGATTATAGGAATGACTCAGACTTGGAGATTAACTAGAATTTTCAAATCAGAGAGGGTTTTGTTTTTCTCTTATGCTTTAATGCAATCTATTGTGCTTTGTTTTTGTTGGTATTGTTCATTGTGTGCTCACTATTTTATGGCCACTGAAGGAATGAGGGAATAGTGATCCTACATCTTTATTATGCAAACGCAAATGAATGTAGCTTGTAGTTCTGCATACTCCTGCTTAATGTCTGCAGCCACCTCATATTTAACACAGCCTGATAGCCCCAGACTTCCTATGTTGGATTCTACAGCAAAGTCCAGTTCTGTTAAGAGAAAAAAAAATAGTGTTCTAGTTCGGGTTACTGTTGCTGTGGTGAACACTGCCATGACCAAAGCAACTTGGGGAGGAAAGGGTTTATTTGGCTTACATATCCTGTTCCTCAGGCTGGTCCCACAGTCTTTGTGCCTCAGCTTTCCAAGTGTTAAGATTACATGTATGTATTTTCGCATCTGACTATTTTTACACTAGAAAAAAATCCTGCACTGACTCTGAAGAATCTGTACTACACTGTTGAGTGTTTTGCTTGGTTTTGTCTTTAAGATTTATTTATTTTTATGTGCATTGGTGTTTTGCCTGTGTGTTTGTCTGTGTGAGAGTGTCAAGTCCCCTGGAACTGGATTACAGACAGCTGTGAGCTGCCATGTGGGTGCTGGAAATTGAACCTGGGTCCTCTGGAAGAGCAGTGCTCTGAACCCCTGAGCCATCTCTCCAGCCCCATAATAAACTTTTATTTTTTTCAAGACAGGGTTTCTCTGTGTAACAGCCTTGGCTGTCCTGGAACTCACTGTAGACCAGGCTGGCCTCGAACTCCCAGAGATCCACCTGCCTCTGAGTACTGGGATTAAAGACTTAAAGACGTATGCCACTACCACCCTGCCTGTTAAGTGTTTTATGCCTACCTTTGAAATTTTTACTTATTACTTTATGGTGCACGGGTTAGAACTCAGTGCCTTGTGTGTGGGTTAGGGCAAATTCTCTACCACTGAGCTTTGCCCCCAGGTCTTTTGTGGTAATTTCCTGGCACCCCTTCTCTCCCCTCAGACAAGGAGGGTAAACCCTTCTGCTAATAGGCATTTCTCTTAATAGTGATGGCAGAGGGCTGTGTTATACACACTTCCTTTTACTTTTTCCCAGAAAATAAGCAGCGTTTCCCAATTGACACAGAAGCATCTCCTTGTTGGCGAAGTGCCAGTTAAAATATTCTGTTGCTAGGGAAGGACTGTGTGAAGTGAACAGGGGCTGTACTTGATCTATACCATAAAGCTATATCTTTCCGTTTCCTACCAAACTGGGACAAGATGCCACCTGCAAAGAGGCGTGGCTTGAGAGCTCCATCACTTGGCCATCCACTTCACTCGCGCATGGGCATCTGCAGCTGGTGGTCCTGTCTGTGTTCACACTCCTTCTAGCTCCGTGGATGGGAGCAGGTGGGGTGCTCACTCCAAGACTTTATGGACCTCTTTACTCCTGGACAGTGAAGGCTGACAGTTGCACACCTTGCCCCGCACCTGTCATCCAGGAGTGACTCCAATGTCTTCTGTTTCCCACATCCATACTCCATAGGCCTCCGAATGAGTGTACTGTGTGTGCCAATAAGCTTAGCGACACACAGTCATGTGACTCCCGACTCTCCAGCTTGCTGAGGAAATCCCAGTGGGAAATAATCCGCTCTGTGCTAATATCTATTGAGTCTAATTCATGTCCTCAAAGGGCTTTGTGCCCTACTTTCCAAGCTCATACTCCCCCATCCTACCTTCTCCCATCCTAATCTTGCCTAAAGAATTAAAACTCAGTTCAGCTGCTCTTTCCCATGCCTGCCATCTTACCAAGGCCATAGTCCTCGTTCTTTTCTTCCCAAGGATAGACTCCACCAGAGCGAGCCTTCCATTTCTACCTGAGCATCACCAGCAAACTTCACATCTTGCCTTATCTTTTTATACATAGGTCTGGCCGGGCGCTGGTGGTGCACGACTTTAATCCCAGCACTCAAGAGGCAGAGGCAGGCGGATCTCTGTGAGTTTGGGACCAGCCTGGTCTACAAAGCAAGTTCCAGGACAGCCTCCAAAGCCACAGAAAAACTCTGTCTCAAAAAAACCAAAAACAAAACAAAAAAACATGGGTCTGGCTCTCCTGGAACTCACTCTGTAGACCAGGGCTGCCCTCAAACTCAGAAATCCATCTGCCAGTGCCTCCAGAGCGCTGGGATTAAAGGCATGCGCCACCACCTGACTCCAATGTGGGTCTTATTCATCTTTTCAAAATGATAGTAAGTGTACGCTGTAGCATTAAGAACATGTGACTCCACTAGCAAAGTGCTTGCTTAGCATGCACAGAACCTGGGCTTGCTCCCTAGTGTCGCATAAACCAATCATGGCATTAAATGTCTTTAATCCCAGAAGCTGGGACGGAAGGTCATCCTTGGCTACATAGCAAGTTAGAGGCCAGCCTAGAATAGATGAGACCTTGTCTTAGAAAAGGAAAAACAAAATCAAAACCTAGGCCATGAGTATACAGTAGTAGAGCCCCTGCTTAGCATGGACAAGACTATGCATTCCCCCATACAAATAAACATTTTTAAAAAGAATGAGATTCATATTTAAAGTTCTATAATTTACAGAACACAACAGAAGTGTAAGCATGCTGCTGTCCTTTCATGCAACATGACTTTTGTCCTTGAGCAGGTCCGGAGCAAACAATGAGGGTGACATTTGGCAGTCAGTAAGCCTTCTTTTGAACTGATATGAACCCTGGTGAATGAGTGAGGTTCTCCCGTGGGCCAACCTCCTTCATTGCCTTCCTCGTCCCTCCTAGTGCTTTGTGTATTGTCTCCCTTGGGTTTTTCCATGACCTCTAACCTGCTCTTAAACTCCTCTCCAATTCAACCTCTGCCATGTCTCTAATAGCAATTTATTGTCCAGGCTAGCCTCAGTCACTATGTAGCTGAGAATGACTTTGAACTTTTGATCCTCTTGCCTCTGTCTCCCAAATGCTGGGTTATAGTCATGTGTCACCATGCTCGTTTCTTTCTTCCTTTTTTTAGTTTAATTGCATTTAGTGAGCATGTGTACCTGCATGTGGAGGATCACAAGACAACTTTCAGGAGTTGGTTCTCTTCTTCTACCAGATGACCCAGGAATTGAATTCAGGTCATCATGCATGGTGTTGGGTGCCTTTACTTGCTGAGTCATCTTGCTGGTCCTTACCACAGCATCTTTTGAAAGATTTATTTTTACTTATATATGAGTGTGTATGTCTGTGTTGTGTATATGTATGGGTGCTTCACACTCCAGAAGAGGGCTTTGGATCCCCAGGAGCTAGAGTTACAGGTGGTTATGAACCACCCAGTATGAGTGCTGGGAACCAAACTTGAATCCTCTAGGAGAGCAGCAAGTGGTACACACTTGTAACCCAGCATTGGAGAAGTGGAGACAGGATTCCTGGGGTTCTCTGGCTGGCTCAGGGATCTGAATTAGGGATGTCAGGTTCATTGAGAGATTCTGTCAAAACAGAAGATGGAGAGTAATTGAGAGGGATACCTAATGTCAACCTCTGCCCCCCACCACACACACACACACACACACACACACACATATACACGGGGAGGGGGCTAGGGGTCTAGGTTCAGGTGACACAGATACAGGTGACACATACCTATAATCTCAGCATCAAGAATCTGAGCTAGAAGCCGGGCGTTGGTGGCGCACGCCTTTAATCCCAGCACTCGGGAGGCAGAGGCAGGCGGACCTCTGTGAGTTCGAGACCACCCTGGTCTACAGAGTGAGTTCCAGGACAGTCTCCAAAACAATACAGAGAAACCCTGTCTTGAAAAACCAAAAAAAAAAAAAAAAAAGAATCTGAGCTAGGAGAATTGCTTTTAGTTTGAGGCCAGCCTGAGCTATAGTAAGTTGCTTCAAACAAAACTAAATAGGGCTAATGGTGTGGCTTAGTTAGAGTGCTTGCCTAGCATACCCAGAGCCCTAGGTTTGATCTCCAGCACTAAAATAAAATAAAAATAGAATGCTAGTCTTATATTTGGACTAGAAGATAGCTCAGTAGATAAAGATGCCTAATGGCTAGCTTGGTAGCCTGAGTTTGATGCCCAGAGCTTACGTGGGGGAAACAGAGAATTGACTCCTGCAAACTGTCCTCTGACCTCCATATGCATACCATGGCATGTTCATACACACACTAAGTAAATACATGGAAAGCATTTTAAAAAGTGAATCTGGGGCTGGAGAGATGGCTCAGCGGTTAAGAGCACTGACTGTTCTTCCAGAGGTCCTAAGTTCAATTCCCGGCAACCACATGGTGGCTCACAACCACCTTGAATGAGATCTAGTACCCTCTGCTGGCCTGTAGGCAGAAGGCTGTATACACAATAAATAAATAAATAAATAAATATTTTAAAAATCTTTTTAAAAAAAGTGAATCTGATCAAAATACTGTCTTACCCAGGGCAGACCACCCTGCCTTGCCACAGGCCTGCTGGCTCCTCATAGCACCACCACCACTCCTGCCCTACAAAACCTCAGTCTTCAGTTTGCCGGGACTGCCCCTGCTTGCCCCTTCCTTGGCTGAAATCAAGCTCTTGAAGGTCACTCTTCATCTTTATTAACATAGCATTGTGTTTAGTTCATTATCTGTGTCTCTTTCCACTTGACTTCTGAAGGTAGCTAGTAGGTAGAAGAATACGATAATAGGCCCCGAGTGTAGGTCAGTGGGAGAGCATGTGCTTAGTGTGTTCATAGACCTGCATTCATTCCGTCCCCAGCAACAAATGAAAGTGTTTTTTAGCACACACAGCATTTAGTTTGGCTCGTTGTTTTCTTAAGACTAGTGCCTTAATGGAGAACTAGGTAACATCCTTCCTTGTTTTGGTTTTGTTTGTTTGTTTTTTGTTGTTGTTGGGTTTTGTTGTTGTTGTTGTTGTTGTTGTTGTTGTTGTTTTTGGTTTTTCGAGACAGGGTTTCTCTGTATTGTTTTGGAGCCTGTCCTGGAACCCACTCTGTAGACCAGGGTGGACTCGAACTCACAGAGGTCCGCCTGCCTCTGCCTCCCAAGTGCTAGGATTAAAGGTGTGCACCACCAACGCCCTGCAATCCTTCCTTGTTTTACTAAGGGTTTGATGTAGATGATATGGAGAAGTTGAAGACAGAGTAGATTTAACCCCAGATAGAATTAAAAACAGACACAAACATGTGCCAGTGTTTTTATTTGCTTTCTGACAAAGCAAAATTGCTTCTGAACTTCCTAAACACAATGCATCCTTGTCACAAGCTGAGGACTGCCATGGAGGAGAGCTGAGTTTCTAGAAGGTCCTCCAGGTCCTCCAACAGTTTTCTCCTAGTTTGTGTGAATCTTAAGTTTACTCAGACTGATGGGGGGCGTTCAGTCTTGTCCCAAAAGGCTTAACCTCTCCTTTTCTCCACAGGGAAACAACTGGAAGGCATCTGGTAAGCAGAGTGGGACTCTTCATATTAACCACTGGTGAACCAGGGCAGCTCACTACATGATTCAGTGTCTCTGCAACTCCCAGCTCAAAGCCTGACTCTTGTTGTTAATTCCCATATCCTTTTGGTTTTTTCCTTAAGATTTGTTTTATTTTTATGTGTTTGGGTGTATGTATGTCTATGTATCATGTATGTGCTTGCTGCCCAAGAGGCCAAAAGAGAGTGTCAGATTCCATGACACTTGTGAGCGCCATGTGGGTGCTGGGAATAGAACCTGAATCCTCTGAAAGAACTATCAGTGCTCTTAACTGCTGAGCCATCTCTCCAACCCACAATTTCCCATATCCTAAAACAGCAGTTCTCCATGAAGCTACTTTTATCCCTCCACCTCACAAGATATTGGCCATATCTAGAGACTTTTTTGTCAGAACTAGAGGGAGGGTGCTACTGTCACCTCCTGGGTAATCACCTTCTATTAATGCTTCCCACAGTAGAGTCATCCACTTCCATTGTCAGTGCCCAGAGGGAGGACACCTGATCTGTGATGCTGTCTGCCCTCTTTGCCCACGAGTTCCACTCATTGCAAGTTGGAAATGTTCCAGAAAATGAGTATACTACTGCGCCATCCATTCCTGGGCATGCGTTCACTCCTGAAAGCAGCATCAAAGTCTGAATGTTAGCTGGGAGTGGTGGCACACTCCTTTAATCCCAGCACCCAAGAGGGGCGGCAGACGCAGGCAGATCTCTGAGAGAGAGGCCAGTCTTGTCTGTTCGGGGAACTCCAAGCCCGCCAAGGCTACATAGTAAGACTCTGTCTTAAAAAAAAAAGAAAAGAAGAAGGAAAAAGGAAAATGTTAAATGTCCTGAAAAGTAAAAGTGCTTGTCCTAAACGTACAGACTCTTTTATCATTATTCCCTTAGTAGGGTGTGATAACTGTATGGCATTTACATCATGTAGAATCCTATGTGTCATCTTAAATGATTCAAAGGGTGTGTAAGTTCTGTGTATGTCCTATTCCATTTTGACAGGGGACTTGAGCATCTGAATTTTGGGGTGGGGGTGAGGACAGTTCGAGTTCAATCATCCCAGATTTAGAAGGGCACTGAATATGTCTTCTCATGTCTTCATCTGGTTAATATAAGAAAATTGGCTACCACGCTGACATCTTTGGGCACAAACTACTCTCACTACAGTATACTGCTTGCTCTTTCTTGGGGAAGTTATAAGCTTTCTGGCTCACTGTCCCTCTCTGTGGCAGGCACACCTCTATAGTTGTACACAAGGATGAGTTCTTCTTCGGCAGTGGCGGTATTTCCAGCTGTCCCCCGGTGAGTGTCATCCCTTGACCTGCAAGTTTCTGGGGGGTTCTTGTAGCCTGAGAAGTTTGGCTTCCACCATGTACCTCTGGCCTGTGGTAGTTCCTTATATTAGTACATAAACCAGGCATGGTGATGCACTGCACGCCTTTAATCCCAGCACTTGGAAAGCAGAAGTTGACAAATCTCTGTGAGTACAAGACTAGCCTTATCTACAGAGAGTGCCAGAACAGCCAGAGCTACAGAAATACTTTCTCAAAAGAGAGAGAGGAGAGAGACTGAGCAGTTTTATAATCCTAAGACTTGGGAGTAGAGGTAGGAGGACCAGGAGTTCAAGTCTTTCTTGGCTGCCTATGGAGTTCAAGGCTAGCCTGAGTTACATAAGACCCTATCTCAAAAAATCACTCCTAACAAGGACTAGTGTGATGGCATAGAAATGCCCAGCAGGTCAGGGTGCTTGGTACCAAGCCTGAAAACCTGAGTTAGGTCTCTAGAACATATACAGAAGAAGTAGAGGAAAATCCCATAATTCATCTGAAGAAGTACAGAAACATCCATAATTCATCTCTAACTGGAGCTTGTGTGTGTGCACATGCTGTGATAGATAATGTAATAAAATGGGGCTTTAGGGGAAAGGTTATTCAACAGTCAAGAACACCGCTCTGTTCGAGGACCTGGGTTTGATTCCCAGCACCCACATAGCAGCCAACAACCATCTGTAAGTCTAGTTCCAGAGGATCCAGTGCCCTCTTCAGGTACCACATGCAGGTTGTACACAGACACACAGGCCAACAAAATATAAAAACTTTAAATTAAAAATACATTTAAGCCGGGCGGTGGTGGCACACGCCTTTAATCCCAGCACTAGGGAGGCAGAGGCAGGCGAATCTCTGTGAGTTCAAGGCTGGGCTAGACTGACAGCCTCCAAAACAATACAGAGAAACCCTGTCTCGTAAAACCAAAAAAAAAACATTTAAAAAATAGGCTTGGTGAGATGGTTAGCAGATAAAAGTTCCTTGCTACCCATCAAGTCTGATGGCCTGAATTTGGTTCCTGCAAGTTGTTCTCTGACCACTTTGCATGCACACATACACACAAATAGATAATAAATGTTCAAAAGCAATGTTGAGCCAAAGAAAGACTAAAGGCTTTACGATGCTTTCAGTAGTTGGAGGTGTGTCTCAGGAACACTTGCCTAGCATCAACGCCCCATATTCCACCCTCAGCACGGGGTGGGGGGTGGGAGAAGGAGAGGAGAGAGACAGGAAGAAGACTCCTCATCCAATAACACCTTTCCGTGAACCCAGCCCGCTGCCCCTCTGAGTCCCTTTCTCAGTCTCTGACTCTAATGCCCACGTCCTTGTCAGAACATTTCTCTCACAGCCATCTCAGGTTGTCATGGGATGTACTCCAGCAAAGACCAGCCATCCATTTTGATATCAGAAGTAGGAAATTGTTCTGATTTTTCACTGACCACCCAGCCTATAACAAGTCTTTCCTCAGGCCTGGCCACATCCTTGGGTGTTCTCTTTTGTGGTAAAAAGGTCTCAAGTGACTGAGTGTCTTCAGCTCGAGCCTCCCGATGCTTGCCTTTACCTCTGAAGTTCTAGGATCACAGGCATGTTTGCATCCAGAGAGCCTGCTCACTTGTGCCTTAAGTTAGTCTATGCCTCTCTTCCTCTCTCCCCACCCCTCCAGAGCGCTCACTGCAGTCCTGACCACTTCCTGTCTAGGCTAGACCTGTGAAGCTAGCCTCATCTCCCTCTGTCCTCCATATAGGAGACAGAATTTTTATTTTTTATTTATTTATCTTTTTTTTTTTTTGAGACAGGGTTTCTCTGTGGCCTTGGAGGCTGTCCTGGAACTAGCTCTTGTAAACCAGGCTGGTCTTGAACTCACAGAGATCCGCCTGCCTCTGCCTCCCCAGTGCTGGGATTAAAGGCATGCGCCACCAATGCCCGGCTGAATTTTTATTTATTTATTATTTATGTATACAGTGTTCTGCTTCCATGTATGCCTTCACGCCAGAAGAGGGCACCAGATGTCATTATAGATGGCTGTGAGTTACCAAGTGGTTGCTGGGAAATGAACTCAGGACCTCTGGAAGAGCAGCAATGCTCCTTAACCCCAGGAGCCATCTCTCTAGCCCCTCAGAATTTTTTTTTAAAGACTGAATGTCTGAGATCTTCCTGCCTTTGCCTCCCAATTAAAGATATGCACAACCATGCTTGCATCAAACTCACCGGGGAGCCATGAATGACCTTGATCTTCCAATCCTAACCTCTTTGTCATCTTAGTGCTGGGATTATATAGCCCTGACTGTCCTGGAACTCAAAAAGATCCTCCTGCCTCTGCCTCCTGGGAGCTGGGTTTTTTTTAAGGTGTGTGCTGCTGTGCCCTACATGGTGAGTTTTGAGGTGCTTGGATGTTTTTGTTAGAGTGTTTTTTAAAGGAGTTTCATTTTTCAAGTATTCCCCTGCTGTAGCCAGAAGGCTCAGCAGGGCTGCACTGACATTGTCTCTGGGTCCCTCTCTAGCCATCCTCTTTTCTGGTTGTATCTTCCCTATACGCCAGTTTCAGTATAGCTCCCTAATCCTCCGCCTGGATGTGCCTATCCATTCTTCAGGTCTGAGCTGGCTGTTCATTCCCTCCAGCAAACCTCAGCCTGGCCCTCCCTGCCACAGGTACTAAGGAATGGCGTTGTGCACTTTCTCAGCGTGGCCCTTATTTCAGCTTCTTGTGACCCACTGGTGTAGAGAATTTTTTACCGGCCTTCCCTTACAAACTTTAAGTTCCATGAGGACAGAAACCTCATGTTTGTGTGCATTTGCGTGCGTTTTACTCCCAGTGTGTAGCATTAGACATAGCATACAAGTCATAATTGTCATACGGATAAACAATAGGAGTTGCAATGGTGACCTCTTAGTCTCTGCAACGTTAAGTAGGTTTCCTCTGGCTGCCATACTTACTGATCTTGCTCACCATGCCTAAAACAATGTCAGCCTCAAGGGAAGTGCTCTGGGACTGTCAATCAATGGCTTTTATAGGCAAACTCCTGGGAGTGTTCTACTTTTTCAAGTCTACCCTTCTTGATGTCCTGTTGCATAACTCTTTGGCTACTGTCCCCACTCCTTTAGTCTCCTGTGGCAGGCCCAGCTGTCATGTTCTGTCCTTGTGATCATATATTGGGAACAAAAGGAGACCACAGGTTCCAGGTTTCTGTCTTTTTGTTGTTGTTTATATTTTTTGAGACAGGGTCTCTCTATGTACTGCTGGCTGTCCTGGAACTCAAAATGTAGACTAGGCCAGCCTCAAACTCAGAGATCTGTCTGACTCTGCCCCTGGAGTGTTGGGATTAAAAGTGTGTGCCATCACACTCAGATTTTTTAAACATATTTGTGGTTTTTTTGTTTGTTTGGTTGGTTTTTTGGTTTTATGAGACAGGGTTTCTCTGTTTTGGAGGCTGTCGGTCCAGCCTGGCCTCGAACTCACAGTGATCTGCCTGCCTCTGCCTCCTGAATACTGGGATCAAAGTCGTGCGCCACCAACGCCCGGCTATTTGTGGTTTTTTAAGATTATTTATTTATTATGCATACAGTGTTCTGGCATGCATGCCAGAAGAGGGTATAGGATCTCATTACAGATGGTTGTGAGCTACCATGTGGTTGCTGGGAATTGAACTCAGGACCTCTGAAAGACTAGCCAGTATTCTTAACCTCTGAGCCATCTCTCCAGCCCCACATTCAGATTTTTATCTTTTTAGCAACAGAATGAATGTACAGTATAGAGACACAGTGTCTACCCAGTGCACAGGAATCAGATTTCCAGGCCCCACAAGCAACTCTAAAGAAGTCGAACTCTAAACTCTATAACCTTAACACTAACAGAAAATAGCCCTCTTCCTATGACAAGAGTGTTCCAGCAGTTAAAAATGAACAGAGTTTGTAGTTTTGTGTGGGAAGTCACAAAATTTAAAAGGAGGGGATGGCTGGAGATATGGCTCAAAGGTTAAGAGCACTGACTGCTCTTCCAGAGGTCCTGAGTTCAATTCCTAGCAACCACATGGAGGCCCACAAATACCTTGAATGAGATCTGGTGCCCTCTTCTGGCATGCAGGCAGAGCACTGTATACATACTAAATAAACAAATAAATCTTTGGGGGAAAAAAGTCAAACTTGGCACAGTAGTACACACCTTTACTCCCAGCACTTGGGAGGCAGAGGTAGGTGAGTTGGAGGTCAGCCAGGGTTACATAATTAACAGAAGGGGAAGATAGCCTGGAGTTTGTAAGATCCCTTCTTAAAAGTTAACAGAGGGCTTTGAGGATCTCAGTGATAGAGCACTTGCCTAGCATGCAAGCATGCATAACGTCCTGGGTTTGATCCCCAGAACAGCCAAAAGAAAGCGAAAATGATAGAAACAGTGACTTAGTGACTTTCTTGGGTTGACTCTTTCAGGGAGGGACATTGCTTGGGCCCCCAGACACTGTGGTTGATGTGGGGAGCACAGAAGTCACTGAAGAAATCTTTCTGGAATACCTGTCCTCCCTGGGGGAGTCTCTGTTCCGGTGAGTAAGGACAGGGTGGTAGCCGCTTGTGTGTGCCACTACTAGACGATCACTCTAGGAGCCGCGCCTGACACTCCCTTGCTCTTTACTGCCATGGAGAGAAGCAGTTACTGCACTACACACAGAGCCCAGCCTCTCCTTCTTTCCTTCTCTCCTTCTCTCCTCTTTAATGTACATTGGTGTTTTTGCAGTGGGTGTCCAGTTCCCCTGAACCTGGGATTAAAGACAGCTGTGAGCTGCCATGTGGGTGCTGGGAATTGAACCCATGTCCTTTGGAAGACCAGTCAATGCTCCCTATCTCTGAGCCATCTCTCCAGCCCGAGCCCAGCCTCTTCAACAGCTAACATATATCCCAGCATGCTTTCTCCTGCAGTCTAGAAGAAAGAGAGGCCACTCATTTCTTCTGATAGAACCAGTGAATGTTTTTCCTCATCCTCTGGCCAAGTGGTTTTTCCTAAATATTGAAAGCAGGGTTTGTAGGAGAAATGGAGTGAAATACCAGCTTGAATTCTTTTGTCTGAAGAGGCTTTAGTCAGGATGATGACATAGCTCAGTTGATAGAGTGCTTTTCCATTGTGCACAGGCCTTGGGTTCAATCCCCCACACCGCAGAAACCTAAACTGGCATGTTAGCACATGCTTGTAATTCCTGCACTCCAGAAGTGGAGGCAGGAACAGAAGTTTGGGTTCGTCCCTAGATACATATGCAGTAAAAGGCCACCTGAGCTAGACACTTAGCCAGGCGGTGGTGGCACATGCCTTCTCTTTGAGTTTAAAGCCAGCCTGACCTACAGAGTGAGTTCCAGGACAGCCAGAGCTACACAGAGAAATCCTGTCTTGGGGGGAAAAACTTGAGCCAAAGCCTGGTAAGAGCTTTTGATCCCTGAAGTCCACACTGTGGGAGGAGAAAGCCTGCTCACACACTGTCCTCTGACTTTATTGGTATTCCCACACACATACATACAGAGTAAATGTTTAAAAAAAAAGTCTGGGCATCGATGGCTTTGATCCCAGCATTTGGGAGGCAGAGGCAGGCGGATCTCTGTGAGTTTGAGGCCAGCCTGGTCTACCAAGCGAGTTCCAGGACAGGCTCCAAAACAATACAGAGAAACCCTGTCTTGAAAAACCAAAAAATAAAAAAAGATTCATCAGTCGGTGGTAGTATACACCAGTACTTGGGAGGCAGAGGCAGGTAGATCTCTGTGAGTTCCAGGACAGCTAGGGCTACACAGAGAAACCCTGTTTCAAAAACAAAACAAAAAAAACAAAACAAGCAAACAAAAACATTTATTACAAAAGCAAAATTACAGTTGTGAGGTAGCAATGAAATAATTCCATGATTGGGCGTTATCATGACGTAAGGGTCACAGCATTAGGAAGGTTGAGAACTAGTGGCTTAGAGGATAAGAACACTTGAGCATGTCTTAGAGGATAAGGCCCGAGTTCCATTCCCAGTACCCTCATGGAGGCATTCAATGGACTGTAACTAGTAACAGAGTGTCTGACCCCCCTCTACTGATCTCCACAGGCAGTAGGCATATAAATGGCGCACATACATTCATGCAACTCATACATAAAATAAGGAAATCTTTTCAGTAAGAGTTCACCTCTGATCCTCGTCCTGTTAATGTAAAAAATCTGGAACTAGGTAGAAAGCATACATTTTTTGGTTCATCTTTCCTTGTAAATCACTTCTCATAGATTCAGATCTGCAGACAGCAGTCCTGGAATGTCTAAGAGGACTGGCCATAGTCTTCCCAGAAGGCTTTGCGCACCTTCCCACTCCATAGTGACAGTAACTCCACAAAGCTGCTGACTTTCTCATCTGCTCTCCATCCTTTCTTGCATGTACAGAGGAGAAGCCTACAACCTTTTTGAACACAACTGTAACACCTTTAGCAATGAAGTGGCGCAGTTCCTGACTGGGCGGAAGATCCCTTCTTACATCACTGACCTGCCCTCTGAAGTTCTCTCAACGTAAGTGTGACCTCTCTCTCTGTCCCTGCCAACTTTCAAAGTCCCCATTGGAGGCAGTCAGGAGGATCAGGCTAACCTCGGCTACACAGTGAGCTTCCTGAGATGAGCCTGAACTATGTGAGACCATCTCTCAAAAAGAAAAGGCACAGGAAAGCCTCACACTTAGTGCCCCTCCCCTATGGCTGCCGAATCGTCCTAGCCAGTAGGACCTGTGTGGTGGCAGGTTCCACCACAGAAGGCCACCATTGTTCCTACCCACCAGTGCGCAACGGGCCTCCTTGAAGCTTGGCTTAAGTGCCACCACAGAACTTAGAAATCCATTTGACACTAGCTTGGATGTTTACATAAAACCCTGGTATCTCATACACAAAGCCATTTCCCAGAAGTGCTTATCTAGAATGTGGACTTCAGTAGATAGCAGAATCCAGAGTAACAGGACAATCTAGTCCATGACTGTTATCTTTGTCAACCACACCCTGAGCTCTTTAACACCTTCAAAAGACGAAATTCTGCTTGTCCTTGAATTTACAGTGCACAGGCAGCCCTGCCAGCAAAGGTTTCCTCTGCCCCTGATGAGGTCCCAGTTTTGGGAAGATATCCTGTGGGCCATCACTCAACTGTCATCCCTGAAAGGATACAAACTCCCCAAAGGCATGTCATATCACCCCCCTTTTCTGATTGGACCAACCTGCCTCTGCCCACTCTAGGACAGTGCCCATTTGTTGCCTCTGACTCAGTTTTTCCTGAACTGGGGTCCTGACCAACAGTGCCAGCAGATAAACTCAGTTTTAAAAAAAAAAAAAAGGGCCGGGCGATGGTGGTGCACACCTTTAATCCCAGCACTCGGGAGGCAGAGGCAGGCGGATCCCTGTGAGTTCAAGGCCGGGCTGGACTGAAAGCCTCCAAAACAATACAGAGAAACCCTATCTCATAAAAAGCCAAAAAAAAAAAGAAGAAGAAGAAGAAGAAGCCACCCTGGCATTGGTGGCGCAGGCCTTTGATCCCAGCATTTTGGAGGTAGAGGCAGGCAGATCTCTGTGAGTTCAAGGCCAGCCTGGCATACAAAGCTATACTGTCTCAAAAAACAGAGTTCCTGGAGCCACCTTTTGGTAGATTTGTGGAACCCAGCATCCCTGCCAAGAGAGATATAGGTCATGAGGCCCTGAGCATCCTTGAGTAGCCAAACATTTTTGCTGATACTACTTAATCAGTGGGTCCTGGAGCTTGTCTCAATTAGGGTTGTATTTAACACTTGGATCAGTGAGTACTTTATCCTCTTGATCTTAGAGGTGATTTTTCAAATGTGATAGTATCAGCTAGGCACAGTGAGGCTGAGGCAGGAGGATCACAGCGAATTTGAGACCAGCTTGAGCTACATAGTGAGGCTCAGTCAGGAATAGGGTGGGGTGGGCAGCAATCTGAGGATGGAGCTTGTGCCCAGAGTGTGTCATGAGCCACTTTATTTTATCTTTTGAGACAAGGCCTCACTATGTAGCCCCAGCTAGCTTAGAACTGGCTGTATAGACTATACTGGCCCTCAGATACACAGAGATCCATATGCCTCTGCCCCCGAGTGTTTTATTAAGGGTACAGTACAGTGACCTTGAAAAGTCTCTAGACAACATTTTTACAGTGTTTCTCCAGCTAAGGTTTTTTTGTGTTTTGGTTTGTTTTTTGGGTTTTTTTTTTTTTTTTTTTTGGTTTTTCGAGACAGGGTTTCTCTGTATTGTTTTGGAGGCTGTCCTGGAACTCGCTATGTAGACCAGGCTGGCCTCGAACTCACAGAGATCCTCCTGCCTCTGCCTCCCAAGTGCTGGGATTAAAGGCATGTGCCACCAACGCCCGGCTGGTTTTGGTTTTTTGAGACAGGGTTTCTTTGTGGCTTTTGAGCCTATCCTAGAACTCTGTACACCAGGCTGGCCTCAAACTCCCAGAGATCCGCCTGCCTCTGCCTCCCCAAGTGCTGGGATCAAAGGCGTGCGCCACCACTGCTTACAAGAACAATCCAGGTGCCCTTTAGAAAGTAACACCAACACCTGGCTACCTCACGTGACTGCCCTGACTATTCCCTGTGCTCAGTAGAAGAGTTCCATTTCTAGAAGAATCTTAATTTTGGAATACCCTCACTCCTGACATCATCATCCTGACTTCCTTTTCTTTTGCCTCAGTTTCCCCTTCTTTTCCTCAGCTTCACCTTTATTTTTATCTTCTTCAAAAGAATTGAAGATACAAGTAAACTGGTGTTTTTGGTGCATGCCTGTAATCCCAGCCCTTGGGAGGTGGAGGCAGGAGGATCAGGAGTTCAAGGCCAACCTCAGCTATACAAGATGTCTGAGGCCAGCCTAGACTGCATGAGACCTGTTTTAAACCCTACCCATTCAACAAAGGATACAAATACATCAAGTCCAGAGAGCTCGGTTTCCCTGTGAGTAGCCAGCCTGTTCCCCCACAGCTCAGCAGGCCTGGCAAGTGTCAGTAGTAAGATGACAGAGCCTACACAGAGGAGGGGAACTAGGACTGAAACCGTAAAACAAAGCCCAGCATGGTGGCACAGGCTTTTAATCCCAGCACTCAGGAGACAGTTGCAGGTTGAGCTCTGTGAGTTCAAGACCAGCCTGGTCTACAGAGCAAGTTCCAGCCAGAGCTACATAGAGAAATCATGTATTGAAAAACCCAAAACAAAAAACCATAAACCAAGCTATTTGGAAAATTATTAGTCAGCTCTCTGCTCCTGGAGCAGATACCTGAGCTAATCAGTATATAAAGAGGAAGACTTTGTTGACCGGATGCACTCCCAGAGGTTTCAGTCCATAGTCACCTGACTCTGTCCCTCATGGTAGGAGCGCATGGTAGAGCAAGGCTGCTTTACTTACAGGAAGCAAAGAGGAGGAGAAGGGTCAGGGCATGCCCCAGGCCCCACATCTCACATGCTTTGCAGGCTGAGAACCAAGTCTTTAACCCATGAACCCTAGGGAGCCCCCTTCCTAAACCAGAGAGCCCCCTTATGAAGACCAGCATGGTACTAAACCCTGATTAACAAGACCCACAACTGGCCAAGTAAGAGACTAGACACCCTCAGCCCCAATTGGAGCGCATATACTGCACCCCTCCTCCCAAGGCTCAGGGGCTGTTGCAGAAGAGGGGGCAGAAAGTGTAGGAGTGAGAGGCCACGGATGCTCACAAGGAAGCAATGTTTTCCGGACACTGCGAGGCTGCTGCACACGGGGCTCCCAGCGCTTGTGACAGCAGATATGAGCCAAACCAAAGCCCCAGAGAGAGAGGGTCCCTTTTCTCCAAGAGTCCAACACTCGATACCTCTGCCATGCTCCAGTGGAAAAGCTACACGTCCAAGAATATTTGGGCAGCACAGAATGGGCTCGGTGGGGAGACAGACAGGCACACAAAGGTAGATGTGAATGGAGGTAGGGTGATCTAGGAAGAATTTGGGAGGGAGGGAGGATAGGATCAAAATACATTGTATAAAATCAAACTAAGAAAATATATATACTTAAGACTGGGAACGGCGGTGCAGAACTTTAACCCCCGCACTTGGGAGGCAGGGGCAGGTAGATCTCAGTGAGTTCCAGGACAGCTAGGACTATGTAGAGCGGCAGTTCTCAACTTATATCAGATGTACTGTTTATCAGATATTTACATTACAATTCATAACAGAAAAATTACAATTATGAAGTAACAACAAAATAATTTTATGGTTGGGGTCACCACAGCGTGAGGAACTATATTAAAGGGTCGTAGTATTAGGAAGGCTGAGAACCACTCTCTGCGTTTGACACCTGTCTCAAAAGAAAAGACAGGCAGTATGTGCTGCCGTGACCACCATGCATGGCTCTGTTTTGTCTGGGTAGGCTGCACTGCAGCTCTCCCAGCTCGTGTCTGTTTCTCCACAGGCCCTTTGGACAAGCACTACGGCCCTTCCTGGACTCCATCCAGATCCAGCCTCCTGGAGGGAACTCTGTGGGCAGACCCAATGGCCAAAGCTAACAGGACTGCACGGGACCGCCCGCCTCTCCAGGGCTTTTCCCTTTTAAACAAAACAAACCCTACCAGATTTCTATTTTATAATTTTACATCAGAGCTAACGGGGACGGCTTTTTAAATTTCCCAGGGAAGGAGCTTGTCAGGCTGCACGTAGGACAATGCTCCTGAGAAACAGAACAAATGCCGTCCCTTCTAATAGTATTATACTAATTTATTAAGGCTGTCTTGTCTGTGAGTTCACTTTTGACGCTGTTGCCTGAGCGTCCTCTACACTGGAGAGAGAGGGGGCGCTTTTTAACAAAAAGCAAGAGTCACAATCTGGGAGAATTCCGTTCTAGACCCTGTTTCCAAAGGACATTCCACCCAGGTTGCTGCACCTGTGGGATCCAGGTGAGGTTTGTGTGGGGTTTGGGTCTTTTTTTTTTTTTTTTTTTTTTTCTCTTTTTTTGAGACAGGGTTTCTCTGTGTAGCCCTGGCTGTCCTGGAACTTGCTCTGTAGACCAGGCTGGCCTCAAACTCACAGAGATCGCCTGCCTCTGCCTCCCGAGTGCTGGGATTAAAGGCGTGCACCACCACCCAGCCTGGGTGCGTTTTTTTATTGTCCATAATCCTGGAGCAGTCACCCTCTAGCAACAAATGAACCAAAGGATTCGGTGTACATGGGGCCAGCTGTAGGCTGACTGACTCAACCTAAGTGAACTCTTCAGCTACAACTTTACCCCATCCCCACCCCCAAACAAGGCCACAGGCAGGAGCTGGAGCAGTCATAGCCTCAGGATCAAAGGGCAGGGCAGAGAAGACAGGATAAAGCCATTCATTCCTCCTACCACTAGACTCCGTGCCAGTCCTCTCTGCCTGCCTCTGAGCTGCTCTCCCTCAGCAATAACTTGACCTGTCACCATTAATGAAGGTCTAGGTTGCAGTGGCAGACCCCTGGGCCTCCTCTCTGCAAATAATAACATCAGTTTGTTTATAGTCAGTAGAGCCAGCCACCCAAGCCAGTATGAGGGGACATGAGTGTTCCTTCCAGGAGCATAACTCTGATGTAGAGAGAATACCGAGAATACCACAGTGATGTAGGTTAAAGGTGGCCAAAAAGAATTGTCTCCAATAGGGACTGTCACATCTTAAAGTGTCTTGAACAGACATCATCTCCATTGTCATTCTGATCTTAAGAGGTGTGGTTGGGCATTTTCCTAGTGATGTGCCACTAGGATTCATCAGCAAGAATCGTCTAGAAGTCTGTGTTGTAGACTCTAGAATCTAGAAAGAACTTAAGTTTCCCTTCCTTGGTGTCAGCCTCCTACTGGCTAATTTGGGAACTGGATATGGAGTGTGGGGCTCAGACCAAGCACCTGAGACAGCTTCACATGCCTGGGAGCCCCTGCCATGGCTTCCCTCCACTTCTGAAACTTGAGCTCAACTGCTCCTTCTGGGGCAGACCTTTCCTCCCTGAAAGCTATTGCTGGCTCATACTTGCCCGTACCCAGCTGTCTTTGCCAGCAGCCCTATCAGTTGGCATCATCAGGATCAGCCTCAAACTCTGACCTGTTCCCTAACCAGTGCCAAGTCCAGCTGGGATGTCAGGTGATGTTTTGGAACTTGAAAGTTGGGGTCAAATGGTTCTTCAAGACTGAACGGTTTGTAAGTGTGCATGACAATAACAAATTAGAGTGGAAACCAACAGGGCTTGTTTACTATTGGTCTGTTGACAGAATGGGGCCAGAAGGTGAGTGTTCAAAGCTTGGCTTCTGGGTAGGTAGAAGTTGCTGGAAGTCATCACCTTTTCATTTGCTTAGCCCCAGCTCCTAGCATCTCTACCTAGAGCTCTCCTGACACCTGACAGGTGCTGGGCTGATTTTCCCACATGACCAGATTCATCTGGTTTTCTTCCTCAAAGCAGTGACGCAGATGCCATGATACTCTGAGAAGCTTGCCTGAGAACTTTAGCCCCTTGGTTGCTTGAATTGCCTCCTGTCACGTCCAGCAGCCATCCATGTTGATGCCTGTGCCCGTGGCTCACAGGAGACAGGACTGGTCAGCTTCTCAGATCTCTGCAGGAAGGCGAGCCCTTCCTCCCTATGCAAATCCCATTGATACCGAAACCCCAGGCCAGGACCCCACCTCCTACCTTCACATGTCTCTGTCCCTGTGTCTCAGGAGCGTACTATAATGACCAGCTGACTCCACTTGTCTCTGTCCCAGTGTCTCAGGAGCATACTATTAATGACCAGCTGACTCCACTTGGGCATGTACAAGCAAGCCGAGAGGGACCTAAGTCATGTTGTTGTTCATGTCATATGACAGACCCTGTGGAGTTCCATTGGTCAAGGGACAAGGGAAGTGGAGACATGAGCCTATTGTCCTCTCCTAGACAAAATGAAGCATGTTCCTTTGAGATTCCTTCATTACTTCCTTGGAATCAAACTAATTCTGTCTAATATGGAGGTGTTTGCTGGTTTTCATTGGCATTTTTTCTAATGCAATAAATTCATTTATGCTGCTTTGGTGCGTTATTTGAATTCCAGCATGACGCAACCCTGGGTTTCCCCATCTGTCTCCCTCTGACAGACCCTACAGAGTTCATAAGTGCTGCTGTACTAGCAGGTGGATCTCTGTGAGTTAGAGGCCAGCCTAGTCTACAGAGTGAGTTCCATCCAGGACAGGCTACAAAACTACACAGAAACCCTGTCTCAAAAAACACACAAACAAAAAAGGAGGTGTGGCTTTCACTACTGGTAAAAAAAAAAAAATGGAAGAGTCAAAGAGAATGCAATGGCATGAGGCAGGAGGATTGCCATGAGGCTGCTTTTGCCTAGCTTTAGCTACATAGTGAGATGGTGAGAACCTCCCAAAAAACTGTGTTGCCCAGATTGACTTGTGACTGTAACAGTACCTTCACATTCTAAGGTGTTCCTCTAGGACCCGAGTATTAAGATGTTGCAAGAATTTTATCCCTGAGGGGAGACCAACCAATGTCTAGCCCCGACCTTATAAGGTCCCAATGACAAACTGAAGTTCCATTCTATTTGAATGAGTTTATTAGGCTGCTCATGGAGCCATAGGTGAGAATTTACAGAAGCTTGAGTAGCCCTAAGCAGCCACACTGGGAAGTCTGTACCCAGCATGCATGCTGGCTTCTCTATTACTGCATAGGTGAAGTCCTTCCCAGCCTGTAAACTCCAGCACCTAGAGACCCCAGGGCCATATGCAATTGGGGCAGAATTTCATACAACTAGCAAGGAAGGGTGAATATTCTGGTGAGGGTCCAATGGCTGCTCCTATGAGGGAATGTGAACAGTTAAGTTTGGCTCCAAGGAGAATTTGATCTCATGATTGGCAAGTGTTCACTTCTGATGTCATCTGTGGTCCTGAACACTGCTGTGGTGCAGCCTGACTTGCTGTATGCAAAATTCAGTAGGCCAGACCTGTGATAATGCTTTCCCAACAATATATCATGGGTGGGGATTGGCCCCATTATACAGGAGGAAACGCGGCAAAGAAACATCTAGGTGGCAGGCGGCAAGGCCATCTTTGAATCCAGGCCATATTCTCACACATCATTACTGAGGTATGGAGTCTTTCCAGTGTACTGGCTTTGCCTGACACACCAGCTTCATAAGAGCATGGTAGGCAGCAGTCTTTGAGATCCCTACTCAGATAAGGCTACCCACCTTGGAAGGGTAGTACCAAGCGGTATGTGATGAGCACCCTACCCAGTGCTTGACACAGACCACATGCTCGGGTAATTTCAGGTTCCTAAGACAAGCTTTAAATCAGTGCCATGTACACAGGCCAGTTCTCTGCTGAGGTGTTAGCCACCTGACCTGCTTCTGGAGGAGAAAAGATGACAGAAAATAGGTGTATCTTAGACTTCTGGTCAGTCAATCTGGGATAAATTCATCCAACTTAGTGTCCCCACTGAATTCCAGACCCAAGATCCTCCATCCCTATCCATTTCCCCGGGAGCCACTGGACTGTGTGCTTGAACAGCAGCCAATAGGGAAGGCAAGGCCTGGTCCAGTCAGGAATCATACTCTGGAGAAAAGTAGGGGACAAACTGGTAACAGGAGAACCTAGGGGACAACAGTGTTCGGGTGGATGGGTGTTAGGAGGTTACAGAGGAAGCTTCTCAGGGTGAGGAATCTACATGAAACCTAGGTGATGCAGAGCCCAGGTAGCATGGGGTGTTCACTCCAGGCAGCTGAGCCAGCAAAGGAGAGGGTACTGGAGGAGCTGAGGGGAAGCCACCGTGGCTGGACAGGAGAGAGCAGCTGGGAGGAGCTGCACTTAGACTAGTGGGAGGTGATGGAGCAGGCGACAGGAATTGGGTGAGCAAGGCTGTGTGGTACGTGGTGAGAGGTCAGTGTCCTATGCCCAGATCTGTAGATAGGGCACGCAAGAGAGCCCTATGAAACACCCAAAGGCCAGCTGTGGGACCGTGGGGCCATTTATCTTGCCTCCATGAGTTTCACTAGGCCTAACTTTGATTTAAGAAATATGCTTTCATTTTTTGGCTATTTTTTTCCAAAACAAAATTCATGCCAGGTGTGATAGTGTATGTCTTGCCCACAATTCCAGCACTTAAGAGACTGAGGCAGGAAAATTACCACTAATTTGGGACTAGCCTGGACTATATATATATATATATATATATATATATATATATATATATATATATAATGAATTGCCCACCAGCCTGTGCTACATACAGAACAAGGCCCTAGCTCAGAAAATTGTGATAGAATATTATAGCAATAATGAAATGTAAGTGTGCTGGATAGTTTTATGTTGATGTGACACAATCTAAAGTCATCTGAAAGGAGGGGACCTCAAATATGATATCTCCATGGGAGGCTGGAGAGTTGGCTCAGCCATTAAGAGCATTGACTGTTCTTCCAGAGGACCCAGGTTCAGTTCCCAGCACCCACATAGCAGCTCAAAGCTCACAACTATGTGTAACTCCAGTTCCAGGAGATCTGACGCACTCGCACAGACATACATGCAGGCAAAGCACCAATGTGCATGAAATAATTTTTAAAAAATGGCTGGGTGTTGGTGGTGCATGCCTTTAATCCCAGCACTCAGGAGGCAGAGACAGGTGGTTCTCTGTGAATTCAAGGCCAGCCTGGTCTACAGAGTAAGTTCCAGAACAACCTCCAAAGCAATACAGAGAAACCCTGTCTAGAAAAACCAAGAAAGAAAAAAAAAGAAATCACAGCTATCAGTGATTTCTGGAAACAGCTTTGTGATGTTGGGAGATAGGCACACAGGATAGATGTACATATCCTAGGACTGAGAGGAATGTGGCCAGAGTGGGGTGATCCTGGAGAAGACAACTACCACACTGGTTTGAGACCCAAGCCTCCTCTCACTCATGCTTTGGCCCTGAGTCATCGAGAAGCCAGCAGGAACCTGTTACAACATTGAATGGACCCCCTGCTGAGCCTGAGGTCAGGTCCTGGTGTGCAATGTTGCTCTCCTCCCATGAAATGTTTATACTGTGGGAGAATTATGAACACCAGGGGGCGATATAGACCTGCAAGGTACTCCAGGTCTCAGCCAAACTCAGAGGCATGCCAGGCTCCTGTGAACCAGGCTGTCCTACTTTCAAGAACCCAGTGGGTAACAGCCAAGCTCTTTGTCACTATTTTAGCAAAGCCCAACTTGTCCCTGGGCACCAACCCCCACACCTTGGTGCAAACACTGGTCCATTCATTACTCAGTTTCAGGGACCAAAAATTAAAAGCTTAAAAACCTGGGTCCTAAATCTATACAGAGAAAAGGAACTTCTAATGGAAACTCTTTAAATAAGGAGTGCCATGGCGGGTGCCTGAGCCCCTGCTCTCAGAGAAGGAGAGGTAACTGTCTACTACTCCTGCTAACATTCCTTGCTAATTGCTGGTCATACAGATCCCCTGCCAGCTGTAAAGATCCCCAGGCCCAGGGGATAGCTGACAGACCCTATGACACCCCCCCAACCCTGCAAACCCATGCCCTGTCTTATCTTACTCAAATGTATCTTGCTTAAAATATATAGTTACTGCTTTACTCTGTCCTCCCCCACACACACAGGGTTTCTCTGTGGCTTTGGAGTCTGTCCTGGAACTAGCTCTTGTAGACCAGGCTGCCTGCCTCTGCTTCCCAAGTCCTGGGATTAAAGGCATGCGCCACCACTGCCAGGCTTACTCTGTACTTTGTATGACCTTAAGTAACCATCGAAACTGAAATTTGCGTCCTTCAGCCTTATGGTCTGCCCCTTTAAAAGCTTCTGTTTTTGGCTGGTGGGCATCTCATTTCCTCCAACTTGGAAGGAGATCCGGCTGGCCAGCTGAACAATAAATGGAACCTTTTGCTTTTGCATCAGAGTGTCGACTCCTTGGGTTAGTCTCTGGGATTCCGCAAACCTGGCTCAACAAGTTCACACCTGCTGCAAGCTGGATCCCATTCCCAAATGCACTCATCACCTAAGACCAGCATCAATAAGGCCTCACTAAAGCCTTCCTCATCTCCTCCCACCTAAGCTGACACCCCTCATCCCCACCCCTCCACCCCCACCCCCCCACCCCTGCTGAGGGTGCCCCTCCACTTCCACCAGACCATCTCCCAGGGGTCAACTGAATAAGAGGCCTAGGGTTGGATTGGGTAGGCCATTTAAACAGACCCACACCCCCTGGGGCCACTGAGATACCTACACATCAGATAGTGGTACTGCTACAAACTTGTTTTTTGTTTGTTTTGTGTTGGGGAAGTCCTGTGCATTTGTCAATAAAGCACTGTCTGGCCAATAGGGAATCTAGATAGGAGGGACTAGGAGTCCAGAAGGCTCTGGGTAAGAGAAACACAAGAGAGTTCGAGATGTAACGCCATGGGGTAGGAGGCCCGGAAATTTCTCCGGTAAGAGACATACTTAGATTAACAATTATGGGGTAATTAAGTCAGAGCTAGCCAGTAAGAAACAAGCAAGGCCAACAGCTTCATAATTAATACAGCATCTTGTGTGTTATTTGAGGACTACAACGCGGCAGAGCCCAGGCGACTGACGGGTGATAAACCAAAGCGGCTGGCAAGGAAAAGCTGCCCTTTACAGTTTTGTTTCTGGTTTTCTGAGGCAGGGTTTTCTGTGTAACTGTCCTGGAACTCACTTTGTAACTCAGGCTGACCTTGAACTCAGAGCTCCACCTGCCTCTGCCTCTTGAGAGCTGGGATGAAAGGTGTGCACCACCATCGCCCGGCCTGCTACAGCATTCTTGCTGATAGGATCCTGAGACCAGAGTTCATCCCAGGACCTACTGTAAAGGTGCAGTGACAGTTCTAATTCCAAAGTTGCCTTCTGACTTCCATGCATGGGCCCTGTTAAATGCACCCTCTTATGATAATATACAATAATGACAAGTATGTACGTACATACATACATACGCCACAACAAAACCCCTCTGGGATGGAATTCCTACGGATTTTGATTGAGCCTGACACAGATCTTGGTCAAGGCCTTCCTCTTTCTAGGCGTCCTGTTCATCCGTGGAAGACAAGTGAATCGGGTGTCTCTAAGACCCATCCATTCTGACAGTTCTCCGGACCTGGCCTGAGCTGTAAGGAGAGTGGCTTATTCACACGCTGCTCCCTCCAGGACTGCAAGGTTGCCTTTTGATCCACAGAGAATGCTATTTTGTCCCCATTGGCTGAAGAAGTCCCAAAGGGACCAGAGACAACACAGCAACAGCCTCCACTCCAGTAAACACCACCTGAGCATGTGCCCTTAGCCCTTATTTAAATTCAGCAGACTGCCCTATTGGGAGGCAATGTAAACACCATGCATTGTGGAAAGAAAAGATAACAAATCTTCCCACTACTGACTCCCAGCTGGTCTTGCCAAGAGCCTTTATAAGCTCGGGACTTCCCTGCCCCACCCCACCCCCAGGCAAGTACTGGTGACATTTTCTAAGAAGAGCTGACTCAAAAAGAGCCACCTGGCCAGGCGTTGGTGACACACGCCTTTAATCCCAGCACTTGGGAGGCAGAGGCAGGGGGATCTCTGTGAGTTCGAGGCCACCTTGGTCTACAGCGAGCTCCAGGACAGTCTCTAAAACAATAGAGAAACCCTGTCTCAAAAAAAAAAAAAAGAGCCACCTGTCCAAGGTCACCAGAGAGAAAGAGCCCTGAACTGTCAATCTCAACAACCCCCTTGAGGCCTGAGTGTCCACCCTTGGAAGGTCTTACTCCAGGTAGAGAAAAAGGAAACCATTGGTGGCCCCTAAATTATTACTTAAAATGATTTGGGGGCTGGAGGCTTGGCTCAGTGGTTAAGAGCACTTGTTTACTTTGCAGAGGATCCAGGATCAAGCATCCACCTCCGGTTTCAAGGGATCCGAACCCTCCCTGACTTCCACAGGCACTAGGCACACACATTCAATCAAGCAAAGCATGTGTACATATTTTTAAAAAAAGGAATATTTTTATCTCTTTGGGTTTCTTGAGACAGGGTCTCACTATGTAACCCTTGGCCATCCTGACATTAAATTCAGAGAGGTTTATCTGCTTCTGCCTCCTGAGTGCTGGAACCTAAAGAATATGCCACCATGCCCAGCTTCTGAGTTCTTTGGACTTGTTAATGTGCTGCCAGGAGAGAGCTGGGGATGTCGAAGAAAGGAGTGGGGAGGGAGGTGTTCCAATTAGGAGCCACAACGTTCAAGCCAAATATGGAAGGCACTTACCATAGACCCGAAGTCTTGACCCAGAAGAGCCAGGATGAAGTTACAGGTCCTCTGCCCATAGTCGTGCCTTGTTTTGGTTCTCAAAGTTACCCACTGACCAGTCTTCCCCTCCCCCAGTGTTGTTTGTTTATTTCCCCAGAGCTTCTCTAGGGCCCTCTCTGAGCTTCAGTTGCCAGGGACAAAACTTTCCTCTTAAAGAGACACCCTGGGAGCCACAGGGACCGCTCCAATATGGGTCTGTGCCTCAGAGCAAATCATTCCACCTCTGGATCTCAGTGGCTTCATCCTTGAAGGATTATGGTGGGAATGCTATAAGAAAAATATTAATAAAACTACCTTATTGTTGACCATGGTGGTACACACCAATAATCCATTGCCCCAAAGGCAGAGGCTGGAGTGGCCAGCCAAGAGTATGTAGAAAGATCCTGCCTACAGGCCACTGGCAGTGGGTCTGAGTTCTAACTCTAAAGCACAAACTGACTTAGTGGAGCCCATTCAAAGATACCTTGCTCAGCCTAGACACAGGGGAGTGGAGGGTGGGGAGGTGCCTTGGTCCTGCCTCAAAGAGATGATGGGACAGACTTAGTAGACTTCCTAGGGGAGGCCTTACCCTCTCCGAGAAGCAGATGGGACATGGGGTAGGGGCAGGTGGGGGTAGCAGGAGGAGAGGAGGGAGGGGGAACTAGGATTGGAATGGAAAAAAATAAAAAGTAAAAGAGAAAGGAAGGAAGGAAGGAGCCTGGCGTTGGTGGCGCACGCCTTTAACCCCAACACTCGGGAGGCAGAGGCAGGCAGATCTCTGTGAGTTCGAGGCCAGTCTAGTCTACAGAGTGAGTTCCAGGACAGGCTCCAAAGCTACACAGAGAAACCCTGTCTCGAAAAAAGAAAGGAAAGAAAGAAGGAAGGAAGGAAGGAAGGAAAGAAGGAAGGAAGGAAGGAAGGAAGGAAGGAAGGAAGGAAGGAAGGAAGGAAGCTAGTTAGCTCCAGGCCAGTCATGGCGACACAATAAGACCCTGTCTCAAAAAGTAATAATAAAATAAGTGAATAAAGGCAGAGTCAACATACTCAGCTTTCTTGTCTTTTTTGTTTGTTTTTTGAGACAGTGTTTGTGTAACAGTCCTGGCTGTCCTGGAACTCTCTTTGTAGACCAGGCTGGCCTTGAACTCACAGAAATCTGCCTACCTCTGCCTCCCAAGGGCTGCAATTAAAGGCCTGGGCCACCACCGATGCCCAGCAGCTTCTTTATGTTTTTTTTGGGGGGGGGTTTGTTTTTGTTTTTGTTTTTTTGTTTTTCGAGACAGGGTTTCTCTGTGGCTTTGGAGGCTGTCCTGGAACTTGCTTGGTAGTCCAGGCTGGTCTCGAACTCACAGAGATCTGCCTGCCTCTGCCTCCCGAGTGCTGGGATTAAAGGCGTGCGCCACCAATGCCCGGCCTGCTTCTTTATGTTTTAAAACTCTAAATTCAGAATAGCAGAGAACAAAGGTTCCCACTCACCTCTCTCCAACATAGCACCCCCTGGAAACCTGTTAGAGCCAGAGTGTTAAGAACTTCACTTTTCAACTCAGGACAGTTGTGTGGCAATTTACTCCATAAATGTGTGTTTGGTCAGAGAAGGTTCTCTTTGCGATGAGCAGTGATTAATGTAAACTCGTAACTGGTCCAAGTGCTGAGAAGTGACTGTGCATGCTGGGTGGGGGCATTTTGTAGGAGGTGGGAAGCAGAGACATGCGTGACAAGGCGTTGGGAGTATTGTCTGGGTTTGGAGTCTAGTAGGTGTGTCCTGTGTGAGTCTGGTGGTCACCTTGGAATCTAGTGTTTTGAGCAGGCTTTTGTAAGTATTGACTTTGGGTGGGAATCTCATTGTCCCATTCGTGGACTTCTGCAAGCCCTAGCTTCCAACTGGAGTGTGGATGGGCAGGGACCTTTTCATCCAGAAACCTCCAGCATAACACACAAGGTTATCCCACTTGGAGAGAGCCAGAGGAAGGTAGATCTCTGAGTTTGAGGTCAGCCTGGTCTATAAAAAAGTTTCAGGACAGAAAAAAACCAAAAATTTAAAACAAAACTTTCCCCAACCCTTTCTCCCCACAAGCACTAAAGAAAACGGGTCCTTGAAAAGCCTTAGAGAAGCCGGGCATTGGTGGCGCATGCCTAAAATCCCAGCACTCAGGAGGCAGAGGCAAGGGGATCTCTGTGAGTTCGAGGCCAGCCTGGTCTACAGAGCGAGTTCCAGAACAGCCTCCAAAACAATACAGAGAAACCCTGTTTTGAAAAACAAAACAAAGAAAGAAAGAAAGAAAGAAAGAAAGAAAGAAAGAAAGAAAGAAAGAAAGAAAGAAAGAAAGAGAGAGAGAGAGAAAAGCCTTAGAGGTCTGTCTGGATCCCGCAGGAAGTACAGTGGAGAGTTAGACCTTCACAGAGATGATGCTCGCTCAACACTTGCTGGTTGCCTATGGGACTGGAGATGTATTTCATTGGCTGAGCCTGTGCACTGAGGCCCAGTGGTAGTTACAGGATGGGACCGTTATTTTGTTCCCTGCATTGTTCCCAATATCTGTAATAGTGACTGACACGTTTGTGGAATGAAGAACGGCTACGGGGCTTGGAAATAAAGCCAAGTCGTCCTTTTGCCAGGCTCCGTTCTGTGGTTTTCAGTCCAGACATTTACGGTCTTGTTATTATCTTGAATGTATGTATGGTGTGTGTGTGTGTGTGTGTGTGTGTGTGTGTGTGTGTGTGTGTGTGTGTGTGCGCGTATATATATATCTCAGAATCCTGGAACTCACTATGTAGACCGAGCTGCCCTGGAACTCACAGAGATCCACCCACCTCTGCCTCCCAAGTGCGTGAATTAGAGGCACGTGCCACCACGTTCTGAACCTTGAGTATTTCTGAAGCTAGCTGGCCTAGCTAAATTTCTACCCCATTCTAATCATGTTTCTCTTTCAGAACAATACATCTATTGGTCAGAAGTTCTGGCCAGAGTTGTTGGGTCTAAGATGGCTGCCAGAGTGTCAGCCAGGTGACTTCTACCTAAATAGTAATTCTATTACCAGGGAAATTAGGGCCCCCTCTTTGGGTTCCTTAATAAAAGAACAGAGCTGGAGAGATGGCTCAATGCAAATGCATACAGCTCTTGCAGAAGACCCGAGTTCAGTTCCCAAGTCCAGCTCCAGAGACTCTGAGGCCTCTGGCTTCCCCCTGTGTCTGCACTCACATACACCCCACACACAGACACGCGCATACACATTATTTAAAGTAAACCTTGCAAAAATAAAGCAATTTAAGAATGAGCTCAGAGAGAACCTTAAGAACAATTTTTGTTATCGTTTCAAAGAAAAATAGCAGGGCAAGAAACCTGAACCTCCTGACAGACACCAGAAGAAAAACAGAAGAGGAAGAGGAAGCCATGCCTTTTGAGTTAGGCATGGAGGTTAGTCACGGAGGTTGACTGAGCAGCCCCGTGACGGAAGCAGGGGAGGGGGAGATGTAAAGGAAGAACAAAACCCCGGAACATCAAAAAGAGAAAAAAAAAGCCCAGGTATTGGAAGTATTCCAAAGAAAGAAAAGGGGGAGAGAGACAGCTGTGCCTCTGTGAGCCAGGGCTCAGAAAGTGGACAGGACACAGGCGCAGGCCCAGAGGTGGACCTCTGATGGAAGAAGACGGCTGGCTTGCATATTCCAGGTGTCCTCTACGGGGTCATCGTCATAACCATGGAAGTCGGGGTTCTTCGAGTCGACATTTTCATCCTTAGGCTCTGCGACCTCCATCCTTCTAGACCCAGGACAGGGTTTCTGGGAAGGAAAGTTCATTATCTCATTAAAGGGGTAATTACTTCTTCAGTCTCTTTAGCTTAATTTTAGGTGAGTCGGGCTTCCTAAGGTGTGGTCCCTTGGACAAATAATTGATAGGCCTAGCTGGAGTAACATACTTTTTTTTCCTTTCAGTCCCTTTGATAGGTGCTCTGGGGAGTGAACAAAAAAACTGGCAGGGAATAGGGGCAAGGTGGTGCTTCTTACATCCCACTGATGAAGATGACATCATCAGTCATCTTCCGGCAGCTGGACTTTTCTGGGGTCAAAACAGTTGGATTCCATGATGGGGAGGCCATTGGCTTCTCGGTGTTTCACGAGCATCCCGGCTTCCTGGCGGGCCCACTTGACCATCCGGTAGTCGGGGACATAAGACACAAAGGTGGTACCGAAGACCAGGACGATGGAAAACCCAAAGAAGAAGACGGCTTGCATATTCCATTCGTCCACCACAGGGTCATCGTCATATCCGTGGTAGTTGGGGTTCTTCAAGTAGATGTTTTCGTCCTCGGGGTCTGGGTCCTCCATCCAGTCCACACTCGGTTCTCTCCGCTCCATTCGCTCCACAGAAGACTGGGCGATCACAGCCCTAGAGGAGCTCGATTTCCAGCGAAGGTGGGTGGTAGTCTGGAGCCTTCGAACTGCCGAAAGACTGCGGGCGCACAAACTTAACCGCCAGGCCGCCATGACAGCTGCAGAGGTGGGGGTGGGGTGCGAGGGTAACACGGAGGAGATAACGGAAGGATGCCCTGTGTCTACGGCCAGAGGCAGAGTCCATTCCTAGCGGGGGTGGGGGATGGATGGGAAACGGATATGATGGAGAACAGCTTTCCCTCGTTGATATCAACAGAGCACTGACATCCTCCAAGACAGTTCTAACTGTACATTAATGACACACCTTCTAACACCCTGACAGTCAAGGATTGTCATAACAGTGGCTGAAAGGAGCTGTGAAAGATGACTAGGGTAGAGTGCTTGGTAAGGCTCTCCCTGGGACCAGTCTCCATCATCTGAGGCAGTAGCCAAATTCCCAGCAAACCTCCACTCTCAGAGAAGACCCCAACACTACTCCCCTTTATCATTCTGGCCTTCCTCCTCATTTCTTATGGACATCTATAAACTCCTAACCTTTGGAATTTATCTCTGACTTCTCTCATTCATAATCAAGATTGAGTTTCCCTCCCTGCTCAGTTGATGTCTGGTCTTATTGGTTCCAGTGTTACCAGAAGAAAAAAGACTCAGTTTGGGCACCAAAAGAAAAAAAGGTAATGTGGGGAATGGAGCACACATATACACACGCACATACACACTCACACACACACCATACACACACACACATACACACATATACACACACATCATACACCACACACACACACACACCATACACCACACACACACACACACACACACACTTACAATGAACACTAGAGACTTAGAGTTCTGAAAGCAACATGGTTTATTTAACAATCCTGCAGGTTCATGTAGATGGAAGTTTCTGTCCTGCCTAGTCTGGCAGCTGTATAGTCCCAAATAAACACACAGAGGCTTATATTAATTATAAACTGTTTGGCTCATGGCTCAGGCTTCTTACTGGCTAGCTCTGTCTTAATTACTAACCCATTTCTATTAATCTATGTATCTCCAGGTGTTCTTAGCTCACCAGTGTTGCCTAGGTCTCTTCCTTGGCAGCTACATAGTGTCTCTCTCCCAACTCACTCCTTGTGTTCCTCTTCCCAGCCTTCTCCTAGTCTGGTAGTCCCTGCCTATACTTCCTGCCTGGCTACATCCTGCCTGTCCATTGGCTAAAACAGTTTTATTCATCAACCAGTTAGAGAAACATATAGTCACAGCCTACAGAAGGACCTCCTCTATCAGGATCAGGCACCAGCTCAGACAAAATGGTGTGCATGCCAATTAGGCTCCAAACAATTATTTTTATAATCCTAACCACCAGTCTATTTCTTGCCCCTATTGGCTGGGTACTTGGGGTGGTACAGTCCTTCACATTGTATGGTAAAAGGTTATACTTAGGTTTGGTTCTGAATTTCAAGGACACAGGCCCTTATATAATATACATCCTGGAGCTCACGAGTCCTTTCTCCCTCCATGACTCGTGGGCTCAGTCACATAGCAGAATGTCTATAACTTCCCACTCCAAGATAAATTAAAGGAGCCTAGGCAAGCAATTTTTCACTAATTGCAGCAGGGGACTAGTGCCTCGTACTTGCTTGTAGTCTGATAAACTTAAGTCCACTGGAGACAATTTTAAATGGAAATGCACCACTTATACATTCTTTTGTTTGTTTGTTTGTTTTCGAGACAGGGTTTCTCTGAATTGTTTTAGAAGCTGTCCTGGAACTCGCTCTGTAGACCAGGCTGGCCTCAAACTCACAGAGATCTGCCTGCCTTTGTCTCCCGAGTGCTGGGACTAAAGTCATGTGCCACCAATGCCTGGCTCACTTATACATTCTTACAGGATCTCAGCACCTATGTATGAGTTAGGCATGCATCTGCAATCCCAGGACTAGTAGGCAGAGACATATGTGTCTTAGGAGCTCTGGAACATGCCAGTCTAGTTGAAATGAAGAATTCAGGTTTATCAAGAAGGGATGCTACAGAGTGAGTTCCAGGACCTGTTCCAAAACTACAGAGAAACCCTGTTTTGAAAAACAAAAAAAAGGGACTATATGATGTATATTTTAAAAAATCAAGCCAAACAAGAGGTTAATAATATGACAATCATAACAAACTACTATAAAAGTTCTTTGGATGTGGAATCCTTCTCTCGGATCTCTCACTGTATTGCACACAATAGTGCATGCAATGTCACGGGATAACGCAAGGGCTGAAAAGGAGCTGGATGGAGGGGAAGAACATGGGCATCGTGACACAGTATCAGGACGTCATCGCCTTCCTCCTTAAACACAAGGGCTACAATATTGCAGACACAGATCTGAGAACACAGACCCCTACAACATCCCTAATAACATGAATATATGGAACAAAGACACCCTTAATTGCCCAATATGAGTGAGACCAGGAAAAGAATATAATAGATTTAGTGAGACTCCCAGTGGTACCCTATCCAAAATTTGTGAGCTGATTAATGTTTCTGGACCATGGTTATCTACTATAGTTGAAACCAGAGAGAGACAAGTGAGTTCTGGGCAAGCGATGCTCATCCGTTCCACTTTAAAGAGCTAGTGTGATGCCTGCTGACCACGAAAGAGCCTAGAAGACTTGTCAGTCACAGACAGACAGTGCATGACTGCTCTCGTCAGATCACAGAAACAGAAGGCAGACTGATGAGTGCTAGAGCAGAGGAGAGAATGGGGAGCTACTGTCCTGGGGTGCAGAGCTTCAGCTTTAGCAGATGAAGTGATCTGAGGAGGGATTGTGGTGGTGGCTGCACACTAGGAATGACTTGATACCCCTGGGCTGTCCTCTGCCAATGGACAGGATGAGCTGCGGTGTGGCTCACTGGAGCATGCTGGCTGAGCATACATAAGGCCTTGGGATCAACTCCCAACACCATGAGAAATACCATGGTAGGTCTGGTAAATATTAGTGATGCCAAACCAAAATAAAGCCAGAAAGATGCTCAGACAAATGTTTCAACTTGCCTTGCCTGCTAAGGAGCATGGACAGGGCAGTAGAGTGACCTCAGCTTGAGGTCCTACACGTTCCAGGCCAAGGGCTTGAGTCCCATCAGACTGTGGGGAGACCTTGCCTGAGCCCCTGGAACATGCTAATAGTGTTTCTGCATACCTGGGGCTGAGGGCCATGTGGCACCATTTATACCAGCCACAGGGTTTAGGAAAATGGCCTCAGATTGCCTGAGTCTGACTTGGAAGGAGTGGAGACTGAGGTCAGCCATGTGGGTGTCCCCCCCAACCATGCTCATGACTACGGGACCCGCCAAACCCTGAGCAGTGAGGCTGGGTGAGAGTCCCTGTGAGCAATGTCCTCCTCTGTCTGAGTCAGACTTGGTGTCAGGACAAACATCAGACAGCTTTGTGCATGTGTGATGACCAGGCTGGGCCCATCACCACTAACTGCGGCTGCAGCTGCTCCTCCTTGCATCTTCCCTCTGTGACTAGCCTGGGCTGTGAGGACAGCAGCCTTTATACTTTTGGGAGCCTTTTTAGCATCTCAGGGTGCCTCAGGGTCTTGGGGACCACCACCACTGTCCGTCACCCAGACAAAAGCAGTGCTGGCTCTTAGCAAAAATCCATTTACGTCTGTCACCTGAGACTCATGGAGTCTTAACATCTCATTGCAGTTTGTCACAAACCTAGTCACCGTGGATATGTCTTCACAGGTGACATAGGGTCAGTCATCACCCCTAAATACCAGCACGGTTCTCTCACCCTCCTTCCTTTTGTTTTTATGATACAAGCTCTCATTATATAGTCCAGGTTGACTTGCTATACAGGGCTGGGTAGCTTTAGACTCATAATGCTGTTTCCTCAGGCTCCCAAGTGCTGAAATAGCAGGCCTGTGCCAATGTCTACACTCAGCACACCCTTTTCTCACAGCATTAGCTGTCCCCTGGGGAGGGATGAGGCCAGTGGTAAAGACTGGTTAGAGACTGTTGTCTTGAGGACCCAGCAGATATGGAAATTGAGGATGGAGAAGGAAACAGTGACAGTCACAAAACTAGTTTATTGTGCATGGCTCAGCCCTAGCTACAGAGCAGGACTGGAATTGGTGTCCCTAATGGCGCAGCACAGCACAGAACTGGTTTGGGGAGGGGGCAACTGGCATTGCAAAGACCCCATGGTCCCTGGCCGGGGCTGCCCAGCGGGCACCGAGAAGCTAAAGCGCTGCAGGAGGCAGGTGAAGAAGAGGAAGAGCTCCATGCGGGCCAGGGGCTCCCCCAGACATGCTCTGCGGCCTATGGGTGGGAGAGGGGCTCAGTCAGTCTGGGGCCTGCTTGATGCTCCACCCTCCAGGCACCCTGGGAAGAGACAGGGAGCCAGGGGCCCACAGCACCTGCTGAGAATGGCATGAAGGCCTCGTGCTTCACAAAGCGGCCCTGGGCATCCAGGAAGTGTTCAGGATGGAAGTGGAGGGGCTTCTCCCAGACGGTCTCGTCCTTCAGCACTGAGGACAGGTTGGTGATGAGGGTCGTCCCCTGGCGGGAGACACACGGTGTGAACATGGAATGGGACAGGGATAGCGCACACACAACCACTCTCTGTACACACTGGATTCTGTCACTCAACCTCAGCCTCAGAGCCTCCCAGCCCGTTCTCTAAGGCCATGGTAACCCTGTAAGGAGTCTCCCATGGGTGCCCAACCAGACCTGTTTCTGTGTGCAGTGGTCACTGTGGTTGGCCATTTCTCTTTCCCCAGCACACTCAGTGGCTGCAGTGCTCCTGCACCAGGCTGGGCCCGTCAGCATGGCGGAAATCCCGGGTGTGCTGGTCTCGATCTTCCTGTCTTTGTGTGCTAGTGTGGTGATGTAATAGTAGAGGGCCCATGCCTACCTTGGGGATGAGGAATCCCTGAACTTCAATGTCACGGGATGTGATGCATGGCAAGTTCAGTGGGGGGATATCTGCAAAGCGCTGCACCTCATGAATGACAGCGTTGGTGTAGGGCATGCGGGCCTGGTCTGCCATCTCTGGGCTTCTCCCCTGCCCTATGACATCATCGACCTCCTGTTGGACGCGGCCTGGAGGGACAGTGTACCCTCAGTTAAGGAGTCAAAGGGGG